TGCGGCTGTGCAGGAGGAGCCGGGCCGCGTCGGCGGGCGGCTGCTCGGTGGCCGAGGGCCCGTTTCCGGGCCACCTGGTGGACGTCAGCGGCGCGGGGACCCTGTCCCACAGCTACCAGTACGAGGTGTGTCTGAGGGGAGACTCGGGGACCAATGAATTCAAATTCTTGAAGCCTACCTTCCCCAGTATTCTGAGCCAGGACCTTAGGAACAAGTCAGAGGGAAATCCAACCTTCCGGAATAGTTTAGGTATCTGAAACTTTCCTGTTCACTTTTCAATTAGTTTTGTCTCCCTCGCCTTTCTGGTTTTTTTTTTAATACAGTAGTAATTTTAATTGTACTTTCCCCCCTCGTTTTTCCATAGTAAATTTACTGTTTGTTTTGTTGGCCTGATTATTCTATGATTATTTTTCCAATTATTGTAGTATTGATAGAAATTCTATGTTGGAAAATTAATATTTCTGGTTAAAATTTTTATACTCGTTCCTAAAGGATAATATGAAAATTAACCCCTCAGAATAAACAATTCTAATTTTCAAATTATTTTACTAACTATATGACACTACTTAAGAATGTCTGATTCTTTGGGTGCCTGGGTGGCTCAGCTGGTTAAGCGTCTGACTTTTGATCTCAGCTCAGGCCTTATCTCAGGATCATGAGTTCAAGCCCCATGTTGGGCTCCATGCTGGGTGTGGAGCCTACTTAAAAAAAAAGGAAGAATGTCTGATTCCTTTTTACATACTTCATTTTTAAATTACTGGAAGCCTTTTAGGTTTTATTAGTAACACACCAATGACTTTTGCACAACTCCTTATGTGTTTGGGGTGGAATCAATTTGTATTTACCCATGTCCAGTTTTTCCAAGCTCTTTTTGGTTTTTTTGTTTTACAAATAGACAGCAATGTGTATGTTTTCATGCTATTTATTTCAAAAAGTCACACTTGTAAGCATTAGATTTTCATTCTGAAATACATATGTCGCATCATGAAAAGATATCTTTATCATGCGTTCTTTCTCAGAAATTCATGTTGAAAAAAACATATGGGTTCTTACATGTAACTTATGATCCTGATAAGAGTCCTAGACAGATTTTACTGATACCCAGATTGTATTTAAGGTGTTCCTGTAAACTCTAACAGCTCTGATTGCAGAGTAATTCTTAAGTGACTTCCAGGTTCTAGGCCTAGAGGAGCTTTTTATGGCACAACGTGCCAGTTATCTACTTGCCTTTGGATGATGACGTTGGTACTTGTTGTTAAGGGATTTGAAAGAAAATACATTGCATAATTAATATTAGTTAACCAAGGAAAACTTATTAAAGGATATGTTGATGAGGGTGTTAAATGATTTGAAGAAATAATCAGCTCTGTTGTCAGGACTCCTCTATCTCCAGGAAGCCTCTTAATTTTGCAGGTGCTATAGAATGGTATGGTTGGCAGAATAATGGCCCCCTAATGACATCTACATCCTAACTTCTGGAACCTGTAAAATGTTAAGCTATATTGTAAAGAGGAATTAAGCTTCAGATGGAATTAAGGTTGCTAATTAGTTAACCTGAAATTAGAGAGAATATCCCAAATGCTCTGTGTGGGCCTGATTCATCAGCTGAAAGGCCTTAAGATCAGATCCAAGTTTTCCCTGAGATGAAAAAGAAATTCTGCTTGTGGGCAGGGGCTTCAGCTTGTGCCCCAGAGTCTCAGCCAGCCCTTTAATTGCCTGTCCTACAGATAGTGGACTTGCCTAGCCAGCTCCCACAATTGAGTAAGTCACTTCCTTGCAACAAATCTCTCATTATATATCTCTGCTGGTTGTGTTTTCCCAGTTGAACCTCAAATGATACAGGTTTTGGTACATGGAGTGGAGTACGGCTGTAACAAATAACAAAAATCATAGAAGTTGTTTTGGAACTGGAAGATAGGTAGAGGCTGGAAGAATTTTGAAAAGCATGATGGAAAAAGCCTAGATTGCTTTGAATAGTGGAAATATGCATATTAACAACTCTGCTGTCAAAGTCTCAGAAGGAATTCAGAAGCATGATGGAGAAAACCTATGTTGCCATATAAAATACCTAAGTCAGGGTACCTGGGTGGCTCAGTAGGTTAAGTGTCTGACTCTTGATTTTGGCTCAGGTCACAACCTCAGGGTTGTGAGATCAAGCCCCACATCTGGCTCCATGCTGAGCTTGGAACCTGCTTAAGACTCTCTCTCTCCCTCTCCCCCCACCCCTTACTCTCCAGTGCTGGCACTCTCTCTCTTTTTCCAAAACAAAAACAAAAACCTAAATCATTGTAAAGAGAAAGCTGGTAGAATTATGGATGTTAAAGTCATTGATGGTGAGGGATCAGACAGAAATCAGGTACAGCCCGGTTTCTTCTTGCTGCTTATAATGTGTGAGGAATGAGAGAGATGGAGGGAAGAACTGTTAAGCTCTTAAATGGAACTAGAACTTGGTAATGTGGTAAATTCTTTGACTATTCAGATTGCACACAGAGCTCAAATTAGGAAAGTATGTTCTATATCGAAAGCCAAGGGGTCATAAGACAACCTTTTGCTAGTGCCTTGAAAGGATTAAAAGATAAGAGCATTCAGTCACACAGCAGGTTCTTTAAAGGGGTTAGGCATATGATTCATGGAAATCCCAGCCATCCCAGCAGAAGTCAGGAACAGACGAGATTACCCGGGAAAGAACTGTGAAGCCACCTATTGTCGAGGAGAGAGAATCCCTGTGACATACACAGGGACTCAAAAAGTTCTTGAGAATGTTATACCAGCAGAAGTATTAGCAGCTTGAATTGAAGGGACACAGAGAATGATATAAAAGAAACCTATTGTACTGCACAATTCTATAAGCAAGAAATGATTGAAAAATTACTTAGCCAAAAACACATGCTACTCTCTCATGAAAAAGGAAGGATGGCTCATAAGACAGAGCCTGGAGCCCAGAAAGTGGAAGTCCAAACCCAGGCCTAGAAAGGAAGTAGAGTTTTCCTGGATGGATTTCTACATTTCTTGGGGAATATGACTATTTCTACTTTCCATTTTCTGTTTTTGAACTAGAATGGCTAATAACTGTAATCCTATGCCTGTCCCATCATAATACAATTTGGACAGCAGATAATTTGTTTAGTTTCACAGGTCCACAGATGGAGAGGAATTATGCCCAGGATGGGTAGTACCTAGAGTCTCACCCATACCTAATTTAGATGATGTAGATGGTGAAGTTTTGAGTTTTTGAGTTGATGAAATTTAGGTGAAATTATGGACTGAGTTGATACTGTAATGAGATGAGATCTTTGGGGACCTTGAGTATATATATATATATATATATTTTTTTTTTTTTTTAGGTGGGATGGATGTAAATCTTTGGGGGTCAGAGAATAATGGCCCCACAAAGTATCAGTGTCTTAATCTCTGGAACTGTGTCATTTGTTATATGGCAAAGAGGAATTGGAGTTGCTGATAGAAAAAAGGTTGACAATCAGATGACCTTAAAATAAAGAGATTACCCTAGATTATCCTGGTCGGTCCAATGTAATCACAAGAGCCCTTAATAAGAGGTGGTAGAAGCAGAAGAGTCAGTGTCAGAGTGATGTTTTACAAAAGATTCCACCAGCCTTTACTGACTTTGAAGATAGAAGGGAGCCTCCAGGGAAGGAATGCAGGCATTCCTAGAAGCTAGAAAGGCAAAAATAAATTCTCCGTTAGGGCCTCCAGAAAGGAATGCAGCCCCACTTTAAACGTAGCCCAGTGAGACCCGTTTTAGACTTCTAACCTCTAGAGCTATGAGATAATAAACTTGTCTTTTTTTTTTTTAAAGATTTTATTTATTTATTCATGAGACACAGAGAGAGAGAGAGAGAGAGAGAGAGGCCGAGGCAGTGGGAGAAGCAGGCTCCCAAGGAGCAGGGAGCCCGATGCGGGCCTCGATCCCAGGACCCTGGGATCATGACCTGAGCCGAAGGCAGATGCTTAACCATCTGAGCCACCCAGGCGCCCATAAACTTGTGTCTTTAAGCCACAAAGTTTGTGGTAATTTATTACAGCAGTGATTGGAAACAAATACAAATGGCTTCTAAAAAAGCCATTTCTAAACCCATTTTTCTTTGCCTTCCCCTACTCTAGACCAAAATATTCACGTTTCCATAATCTCTTGCAGGTGGGAGTATTCTAGTACTCAGCTATTGCTAGTGATTTACAAAAAGTGCAATTGGGGCATTGTGCTTCAGGGAAATTTTTTCTTTCCTTTTTTTAGCTTTTTCTTTTTCCTTTTAAAATTCAAATGTAGTTGATACACAATGTTAAATTAGTTTCAGGTGTACAACATAGTGATTTAACAACTCTGTACATTATGCTTTACTCATCACAAGTGTAGTTACCATCTGTCACCTTACAACACTATTACAGTACCATATTCCACTATATTCCCTGTGCTGTACCTTTCATCCCCATGAATTACACATTCCATAACTGGAAGCCTGTATCTCCCACTCCCCACTCTTCTTCACCCCTTCTGCTCATTCCCCCATCCCTTTCCTCTGGCAAACACCAGTTTGTTCCCTGTATTTGAGTCTCTTCTTGTTTCTGGTTTTTTTGTTGTTGTTGTTCATTCAGGGTTGGAGTTTTTTTTAGAGTCTACATGTAAGTGAAATCATATGGTATTTGTCTCTGTCTGACTTATCTCACTCAGCTTAATACTCCTAGGTCCATCCATGTTGTTGCAAATGGTGAAATCTCATTCTTTTTTATGGTTGAATAATATTCCATTGTATATTTATACCATTGTATATTTATACCACATCTTCTTTATGCATTCAACTATTGATGGACTGTTAGGCTGCTTCCATACCTTGGCAAATGTAAATAATGCTGCAGTAAATATAGAGGTGCATGTATCTTTTCAAATTAGTGTTTTTGTTTTCTTTGGGTAAATAAACAATGTGTAATTACTGGATTGTATGGTATTTCCTTTTTTAAGATTTTATTTATTTATTCAAGAGAGGGTGTGTGCACAGTTGGGGGGAGGGGCAGAGGAAGAGGGAGAAACAGACTCCCCACTGAGTGCAGAGCCCCACGCAGGGCTTGATCCCAGGCCCCTTACATCATGACCTGAGCTGAAGTCAGACACTTAACAGACTGAGCCACCCAGGTGCCCCTGTATGGTATTTCTATTTTTAATTTTTTGAGGAAACACCGTACTGTTTTCCACAGTGGTTGCACCAAGTTACATTCCTACCAATAGTGCAGGAGAGTTCCCTTT